TAAAATACTTCATTGGAATTGGAGTGTTTCACTCAAAATAAGCATTTTCCGTCTATGACAAAAGCACATAAGTGATCTTCTAAAGGATTCAGGCAAGCTGGCATGCAAACTTGCTAGCACATTGATTGATGTCAACCATAAGCTGGGATTAGCAGAGGAAGACACAACCTTCAACAAAAAAATGTACCAGAGGCTAGTAGAAGAGTTACTCTGTCACATACATGACGAGATATAATTTACATGGTAAATGTGATAAGTTAACTTGTGCATAATCCTAGAAAAGTGCATTTATAGGTAGCATACAGAGTGTTATAGTATTTGGAGGAAACATTAGGAAAAAGTGTCATGTTCAGAAGGAATAACAGATTGCTCTTGGAAGTCTATACTGATGTTGATTATGTTGGATTGTTAGTAGATAGAAGATTAACTACAGGTTGTTGTAACTTTCTTGAAGGAAATTTGGCCACATGGAGAAGTGAGAAACAAAACGTGGTGACAAGATTAAGTGTGGAATCAGAATTTCGAGCAATGACATGAGTACAAAACATATTGTCAATAAATAATGATCAGTATCACCTATAATCGATATAGTATGACAGAACAAAACCTATTGAAGTTGATAGACATTTCATCAAAGAGAAGCTGGACAATAGTCTAACATACACATCGTACATGCCTACTAACTCCCAATTTGTAGATGTGCTTATTAAGGGTTTGAACAAAGCAGGATTTCAGATAATTATTGCAAAGCTGGGAATGAATAATATCTATTCACTGGTTTGAGGGGGAATGTTGGAAAATATATATACATATGTGATTTAATGTGTAATGATATAATAGTAATACTCCTATGTAATTAATTTTAAGGTCTTCTTTTGTGAACTCAAGGTTGTGCATATATAGGACCTGATTCTTCAATAATAAAATGCATAATTCTATTCTCCCACAGAAATAAATCAGCAAATTAACTGACTGATTTGATTGGCAGAAATCTCCTAAATCCTGTAATTAATCACAAATATTCTGCAGTTGATTTGTTTGCTGGAAAGCCTGTAATTAATTTCAAATATTCTGCACTGATTTACTTGCTGGAAATCTCTTAATTAATCTCAAATATTCTACATTTTGTTTCCTTGTTTTTTATAGGATAACTTTATCCTCCTTTAGTTTGTAATTTTTCTGTGCTTCTGAACATATTTGTATTTTATTTTATTTTTTTAAAATCCTGTTATTACATGAACTCGCTTATATTAGCTTAGTTTTTTGCATAAATGCTTCCAGCGATGGGACCCGATATCACCTCAACAGCGACATGGAAGTTCAATTGTTGAAGTTTATAGGATAGTGGAAGAGGTATGGATGTGCATGTTCCGTCCTTTATGTATTGTTACCTGCCTTCTACCTGAAGTTTTTACAGCTATTTTTATGGCAACTCTTCCTTAGCATGCCTTTTGAAAACAATTTTTATTGTGGATGGGTGCTGAAAGTGAACAGATAGTTATTCATTACTGGCATTGTTTTTAGTAATTCATAAGTCAAAGAATTTGTCCTGCCTCCTTTTTTGGTTTAACCTTTCTTTGCCTTTTCACATATCCTGTATTTATGGTTACAATATTTGCAAGTACTGCAGTAGTAGTCCTTATTGTTCTAGTTATCAAAGTTTTTTGTCTAATCTGCCCTGCAATTGAAAAGGTTTCATTCCTGTATTTGCCAAATAGTGTCAGCCTTAGCCCTGGCATCATTTTGATTTATATTATTGCTATTGATGAGCTGATAAAATACTTTTAATTACTTGAATTGTAGCTAGGTTTCTTTTCAGAAGCATTAATAATATCATCACTATATCTGAAAGAAAATTACTCTTAGTGTAGCTAGATGAGTATATGTAGTTATTTCAACAAAAAAAACTTGTTGGTATTATTATGTTGAATTTGTTTAAAATATCAATTTTCTTTCAGTGGGATAACTCCTGTTTAGAATATCATCACTATATCTGGAAGAAAATTACTTACAGTGTAGCTAGATGAGTATATGTAGTTATTTCAATAAAAAGAACTTGTTGGTACTATTATGTTGAATTTGTTTAAAATATCAATTTTTCTTTCAGTGGGACTAACTTCTGTTTATGATTTTCAGTTTTTTCAAAAGATTGCAATTTTTCACGTGAACTGAAATAAACTTTTGTCATTTTTACACAGTTTTTGATTGCCAAATTATTCATCATGGCAATGAATATGGTTGTGGGTGAAATTCACAACACTAATATCCCATGTGAAAGAAATATGTTGGTAAATTTGTAGTGCTCAAAGGTTGAAACAAAGTTGATCAATAAGTTTCTCTTCTCCGATGGAAAGTCTTTGTGGAAAGCTTGTGAGATATCACAGTTTGGATCCATTTTAGAATTTTCTCATCTGTTGATTTAACTATGACATTGTAGTCATTTTTCTGTCTATGAGGACTAATACTATTATGAACAATCTTTGATGCAGACAGTTGATCAATTCTTTGCTCTTAAAGTTCCAATGAGGCCTATGGAACTGAGCTCCCTATTTCGTGGAATCGACAATGCATTTCAAGTTTACGCAAATCATGTCATTGATAAGTTGGGTGAGTATGTGCAACATGGTCATTTATTTATTTAGAATAGCAACACGAAGATTGTTCAAACTCTAGGTATCAACAGATTTTTAGTTTAGAAGCTGTTATCATATGAGAGAAGTTGCCCTATTCTGCATGGCTTTGGATGCAGAATAAGAAATCCCAACTTGGAATAATTATTATTTCAAAAAGAAATAATCATTCTGTATCATTAATTTAATTTTAGACTATTTTAGTAGAGTTTAAATATTATTTGGAATTGGGAAACTTTTCTTTTTCCTTCTATTGCTGCAATATTCTCCTTATTATGTCATGGTATCTATAAAAAAGTGGCTGACTATCTATAGTGTTTGGTGATGAATTAAGAATTTATTGTTTTAGGACTTCATTCCTTGTTATATCTATTTGTGTTCTTTTCTCCAGTATTGTTTCAACCTATCCATGGGACAAGTAGGTCTGGAAGTAACTTGTTCCCAGATACTTTTTCAGGGGTAGGTGACAAAGAAGAATAGGGATAGACCTTAAGAAATCAAGAATCAAGCTAAAGAATTACATAAAAAAATAGATATAGCATTATAAATTAGCTGATGTAGGACAAGTAGATTTGGAAGTAACTTTTTCATGGATAGTTTAGAAGGTAGAAGAATGGAAGTGAGGAAACAAAAGAATAAAGCCCTAACACAATAAATTCTTATTGATCATTATCTATTCTAACATTGTTGATAGTCGATGACCTTTATATAGGCACTTGCAGCAACAATAAAAAATCAAAAGTTTCTCATTCATAATAATATTTAAAGTCTATCTAAATAGTGTAAATAGTGGAGTATATGGATATCAAAGATCTGCAAGATTTTAGATTAACGGTGACCTACTTAACTCCTTTTATGAGTTATGGGAAAGAGTAACCTTTGGCAACTTTATGGACTAAAGTCCATGGTAACTTCAGACAAATCAATGTCTGACCTATATTGACTTGGGAGGTCATTATTTGCGACCTTTAAGACCCTCTTCTTGCTCCATAAACAATTCTTTGTTATATTCACTTTTGCATTTGTTCTTTGTGGATGATGTCTTATTCTCTCTTGTTACATATAATCTTTTCTCTCCTTAATTTTTTTTTGTTTTTTATAAAAAAACTTACTTAAGTAGTGGTCGCAAGTATTTAATCAAGATTTCTTCTTGGTGAAAAATTGACCTTGAGTTTTGAGGTAATGAAACATCAATGATGGCAAGAAAGGAAAACACACTTATTAAAGCTATTAAATACTTGCAACTTCAGATACTTAAGTCACCGAAATTGTAGACTCTAGAGCGACATGGGGCTGAGTCAAAGTCACACCGACAAAGATGTTGCTCAACATGATCAACATGAATAACATTAATAGGAGCTGACATTTCTTCTATTGTCAGTGGAGGGGTTTCAGGGAAACTATGTCATAAAACTAGTTTGTTTTATACATCTTTATATCACATGTTCTAATGTCTGATTTTGGTCATGCAGGAAGCAAGGATGATTTGGTTCCCCCGGTGCCTGTTCTCACACGTCACAGGAGGGAAGCTGGAATCAAAGCTTTTGTAAAGAAGGAACTATTTGACTCTAAGCTTCACGATGAGAGAAGATCGGCCGAAATTAGTGTCCACATGACACAAACCCTTTGTGTTCAGTTGAATACTCTATATGTAAGCTCAGGCATTATTTTCATTTTCTGTTTCTTTTTCTCATTTGTTGTTGACGAGACTAAGATATTACTTTGTTTTATATTGATAGGGCTGCATGCAATATTCATAATTTATTCATTTTCTAAAAAAGAGAGAAAATCATTAGTATATATAATATGGTTTTTTTATGAAACATTTAGAAATTCTTCACTTGTTTCAATTCTAATTAGTTTGTAGGAAAATAGTGCAATCAGTATATAACATTATATTTTCTCAGAGAAAAGCAAGACAGGAAGAATACTGCCTACAACTTATAAAACCAAACCTTTTGTCTCAAAATAAGCTCTTGCCAATACTTTCAGTTGCTATAATATGATGATACCAGAAGAAAACTGACCTACAATGGATTTTGGCGAAATACTCTCTATCTTGAACTTGTCAGGAATGAAGTTTATATGCTTTTATCAATATATAATGATATTTGTTTTTGTTTTCTTTTCCTGCTAAAAGTATGCGGTTAGTCAACTGAATAAGTTGGAAGATAGCATCTGGGAGCGCTGGAAAAGGAAAAAGCCTGCTGAAAAAATCTCTATCAGTAAGTATCTTATGCTGCATTCTCAGTTTGTCAATTTAGAGCTAACCTCATTTTTATATCAATTGTCATGCAATGTTGGAACATGTTTGTTTTAACTTAATAGTTAAGATGATGTTTTTAAATTAAAAGTTAGTAGAAGAAAGAGGAGGAAAGGAAAGAAGAAGAAAAGGGAGGTTTCTAAAGAGAAAGAATTTTTTCTTTAGATTGTTGGTGACGTTTGATAAAAGTTTAGTAGAAGAAAGAGGAGGATACACCGATACAGATTATTCAGGATCATTAGTAGACATGAGATTTACTATTAGATATCGTACCTTCCTTGGAGGGAATTAAGTCACTTAAAAAAGTAAGCAGCAGACTTCGGTTTAGTGCAGAATCAAAATGCAGACCATGCCCAAGGAGTGTGTGAGCTCATTTGATTAAAGATGATCCTAAAAATTGAATGGGACAGGTGTATGAGATTTTACTGTGACAATAAGTCAATAATAAGAAGTCTTTGACATGACTGTCTGATATGAGGAAGAAAGAAAGATAGAAGAGGAAAAGAGAAGAGAAATTGTTGATAAGGATTTCATGATAAGTAGAATACTATATTAGTTAGAGTTCTAATCGTATAATTATATTTTATAATTAGAATCCAACTAAAATAAGAATAACCACTTCATATATATCTTCTAAATATAAATATAAGAAATAAGAAATAAAATTAGAAGTTTATTTTCTCCAAAAACTTCATGGTATCAGAGCCAAAAGAAGACGAAAAAACCCTAAAAGCAAAATAGGCCAAAGTTGGTAGTCAACTACCAAAGAAACCAACCCACCATCACCCAGGCGGAGTCACCGCTCAACCCCAGTCAAAAAAGCCACAGTTTCTGCGTGCATCCGCCACACACGCCGCCGGCTTCATCCCATTCAGCCTGAAAAACGGTGGAATACTGCTAGAAAAGCTCGATTGAAACAAATCTAGTTTCTTTCTGCACAAAATCTAGCTTGATCGCAATTATCTGGCTTTTTTTTCATGCGGTTGCCCGCGTTCGGAATAACTGTCGTTCTACGCCCTCCACTGCTTTGATCTGGCTGATCTGCATTTGGAGACGGGTCGATTGATCCTCCTGCACACCACGCTGCTCTGGTCGCGCGCCGAGTCGTGTTGCATTGATCGGACAGAGCCCCTCCCTCGCGCCAATCCGCATTTCCGCGCACGAGAAAGTCTGGTGTGGCCATTTCCACGCACCAGACCACTC